TCATCTTCGGCCCCCCCGGCACCGGCAAGACGGTCACTGTGGTGGAGGCCATCAAGCAGGTGAGCAGCCGGTGCCCAGGTCCAGCCCCGGGCATTGCTGCCCACCCTGGCACGTGGGGCTCAGTGCTGTCACCTCCTCCTGCCACCCAGGTGTGGACGTGCTTCAAGGAGGCCCGGATTTTGGCCTGTGCCCCTTCCAACAGCGCCGCAGACCTGCTGTGCCAGCGCCTCATCCCAGACATCCCCCCTCGGAATGTCTACAGGCTCATCGCCAGCTCCAGGAACTACAGGGAGGTGCCTGCTGATATCAGGGTAGGTCCCTGCCCCTCCAGCCCTGCATCCTGCCAGCACATCTGAGTTGGCAGCCCCCAGGAGAGCTGGATCTCACCCAGTACCTGCGTTCCAGCCCTGCTGCAACTGGGACGATGAGCAGAGCAGCTACGTGTACCCGAGCAAGGAGTACCTGGGGCGCTACCGGGTCCTCGTCACCACGCTGGTGACAGCAGGAAGGTCAGAGGAGCTGGGATTGTCCCCAGTACCCCGGGGGATGGACCCAGGGGCTGTCTTGCAGCCAGGCTGTGAGAGCAGCCCTTCAGGGATTCAGTGGGAAGGGGTGGAGGAGGGCAGGCAGCAGGTGGGACCTCTCCTCTGCAGGAGGATGAGGATGAAGGGGAAGGGAGGAAGGATGGCCAGGTGGGGCAGGGGTGCTGAGGCAGCCCCATTCCACCTCTCCTCCAGGCTGGTGTCAGCCAACTTCCCCCCTGGGTATTTCTCCCACGTCTTCATCGACGAGTGTGGCCACGCGGTAGAGCCGGAGAGTGTGGTCGCCATCGCCGGTGAGTGGTGCCCGGCTGCTGCCTGGGGGACCAGCATCTCTGCACGGCCCGGGGTCCCCCCTGCCCCCCACTGAGCTCTCCCTGTTCCCAGGGCTCCTGACTCCCATGGACCAGAAGACCAACCCCAACGGGGGGCAACTGGTGCTGGCAGGAGACCCCAAGCAGCTGGGCCCTGTCCTGACCTCCCCGCTGGCCATGGAGCACGGCTTGGGTGAGTGGGGAGAGGGGTGGGAGCACTGCTGGTGCTGGGGGGGCTGAGCAGCCTTGCAGGGACCCATGGGATCTCACTGGGCACAGGCACCTCGCTGCTGGAGAGGCTGATGCTGCACAACCCCCTGTACCAGAAGTCCAGTGAAGGATACGACCCACAGTTTGTCACCAAACTGCTCTGGAACTACAGGTGGGGACAGGGATGGTGCGGGCAGGTGTGGGGCTGCTCTGTGACCACAGCCCCATCCAGGATCTGTGTGTCCCCCTCAGAGCCTCGTAGTGCCCCAGCTGATGTGGGAGGTGGGAGTGTACCTGCTGTCCTGCACAGTGCCTGGGAGGGTGCTGGGCCCACGTGGCACCCATCCTGGTCACCATCCTGCCTCTTCCAGGTCCCATGAGGCCATCCTCAAGATCCCCAATGAGCTCTTCTACGACAGCGAGCTGAAGGCGTGTGAGAGTGACGGGCTGGATGTCCGGAATTTCTATTGCAACTGGGAGGAACTTCCCAAACAGGTGAGGGGGGCAGCAGGGAGGGGGCTGGGGGAAGCCCCGAGGAGCAGGCAGAGCAGAGACCAATGTTTTCCACCCCCAGGGCTTCCCCATAATCTTCCACGGGGTTTGTGGGGAAGACCAGAGAGAGGAGAAGAGCCCCTCGTTCTTCAACACGGCCGAAATCGAGGTGCTGGTCGACTACCTCAAGAAGCTGCTGCAGAGCCAGGGCAAGAAGGGCTGTCCCACTGTGTCCCCCAAGGACATCGGCATCATCTCTCCCTACAGGAAGCAGGTGAGGGGCACAGCTCTGCAGGCAGGGCACGGGCAGAGACCTCCCCAGGGGACAGGGGACACTGGAATGGGATGGGCAAGAATGGCTCTGTGGTGGCCGGACTTTGCCACGTGCCTCCCCCCAGGTGGAAAAGATTCGGAGAGCCATCACCTCCCTGGACCCCGTCCTGAAGAGGCTGGCAGACATCAGCCAGCTGAAGGTAAGTCCTGGGCATGGAGAGGAGCCCACCCTGCTGCAGGAGGAGGCAGCCCTGCCAGCCCCAGCCTGGGGGTGCTCCCAGCCCCTCACCTGCTGTCCCCGCCCCAGGTGGGCTCCGTGGAGGAGTTCCAGGGCCAGGAGCGGCGCGTGATCCTCATCTCCACCGTGCGCAGCTACAGCGCGTACCTGCAGTTCGACAAGACCTTCAGGCTGGGCTTCCTGAAGAACCCCAAGGTACTTCACTGCCCCGAGCAGCCCCTTCTCCCCCCTGGTTCCCACAGGCAGGCAGGGCTGCTCTGGGTGCCCAGTGCCACAGCAGAGCTGCCTGCACCGAGGTGGGGCTGCGAGGGGGCGACTGTTACCTGCAGCCAGGTAACACCCCTCGGCCTGTCCTCTGCAGAGGCTCAACGTGGCCCTCACCAGGGCCAAGGCTCTGCTGATCGTGGTGGGCAACCCGGCCGTGCTCAGCAAGGATGAGCACTGGAACAGGTGAGCTGTTCCTGGCCCCTGCCACAGACTCTTGTCGCCTGCTCTTCCCTGCTGCTGGCAACACACCAGTGCCAGGGAGCAGCAGGGCCAGTGCCACCTCCTGCCCACCCTCCCCTGGCTCTGTGCCCGCAGGTTCCTCATGTACTGCAAGGAAGAGGGTGGCTATACAGGACTCCCCTACGAGGGTGAGGGCACAGAGCAGGACAGACTTGTTGCCGACCTCCAGGGGCTGAGGCTCAACATTTAACACCCAGGTGAGCAGGGCTGGGAGCTGCCAGCACCCTGGGGCACCAGCACAGCCAGGGTTAGGGTTAGAGGCACTGACTAGGAGGCTTCTCCTGCCCCATATGTGACAGGGTTTAGGAGGGGTCCTCACTTAGGAGTTGCCTGTCCCTACCCTCAACTCGGGGGCCAGTTCTGCCATGAGGTTTCTCTGCAGGAAACCTACGTGGGAAAGGAGGAGAAGCCCTATGAAGCTCCAGCCCCCTCAGCCTGTCCCCTGGCCTGCAGCAGCCCTTGCACTCCCCCTGTCTCTGTGCATCCCTGCAGAGTTGGGGCTGAACCCACCGGACCAGAGGATAATGCCAAGCCTTTCCTGCCAGCCAGGAGCCCTGGCACAGACCACAGGGCAGCCCCCTCCCCTTATGGAGTGAGACCACCCCCGGACTGGACTGGGACCATTCTCCATTTTAACCAGTTTTTGACACAGCTATGGCAAAACAATTCTCTGTGACTGGTCTCACTGTTCAGTGAAAGGCTTAAGCCTTCAAAGAGCATCACTGGGTGCACAGGGGAGCCCAGTGCTGCTGTGGTGGGTGACTGGGGCAGGCAGGGACCTGGCCAGCCACAGCATGGCTCAGCTCCTAACAGGGCAGCTGCCTGGCTTGAGAGCTGGCACGGCTGGGCTGGCACTTTGTTTCCCTGGAATAAATATTCACAGAAAAACGGTCTCTTGAGTCTGGGGCTCTGCCACGATGACAGGGCTGCTGGAGCAGGGACAGGCTCACTGCAGCCCTGTCCTGACCTGCTCCAGAGCCAGGATGGCTCCAGCAGTGACAGCAGTGCCCATCATCCAGGGACTGGGTACAGCTGGGAAGCTCCTGCCCAGCCCTTCCCACATAAACTGCTTCCTGGCTCTTATCTGAAATGAGAGCCAGGCCTAAAAGAGTTAACTGAGGTATCTTGCTCTGCTGAGAAAGCCCCCCCAACACCTGTTCTGTCTGTGCTGCTAAGACTTGTTCTGTTCTGCTTACTGGACCTAAACCTAATCATAAGAAGAATGCTAGAAACAGTATACAATCAACCCAGAGGTTATAAATTAGGACAAGGTAGACATTTGAATAGGAGAAAAAGGCTTAGAGCCAAGGGTTTCTGCAAGCTTCAGCAGTTGGGACATTAACAATAGAAAGGTAAGAAGGTCAAAGTGAGGGAGAAGAGAAAAAGACCCCCAATATGAGGTGGAAGGCTGGAATGACCACCAAAACTCAGCACCAAGAGAAGAATCTAGAAAGCACCGCCCTAAGCTCTGCCCAGGCCCCGCCTATTAGTAATATGCATAATTAGATGTTGTTATCATATGAACACGTATGTAATCATGTATGTAGATTGCACAAATACCTTGATTTTGCACTGGTGCCTTTGAGCAAGTTTGACCAGCGCTAGCTGGCTTGCTCCCAACGCTGAATAAATAAACACCTTGCTGCTTGTAGATAAAAAGTCTAGGAGCAGTTCATCATTCCCAAGTTTTTCGGCATCCTACCCAAGCACGCTGTGCTGAGCCCTGATTCTGCAGCAGCAGCTGGAGCAAGAGGAGCTGTGGGATGAGCAGGTCCCCACCCTGCAGCACGTGGCCTCTGTCCCCAGGCAGGAGCCTGGAGCAGCAAGGGGCTCAAAGGAGAGCCGGAAGGATGCCACGCAAGCAGAGTTACAATTACTAAAATACCGGTTTGCATTTATTCTCCCAATTACACAGTTCAGTTTACTGGTGCCAAGTCCGTGACCGAGGCAGACCCGAAGGCGGCGATACCGGCAGGGCTGGGCACACATCCCGGGAGCAGAGCACTCCTGGCAGCAGCTGAGCCCGGCTCTAATCACAGACAGGGCTAAAGCTGCCCAGGCAAGTCTGTCTAACACTGGTGTGTGCTGCCTGCACGGCAGGGGGAGCAGGCAGAGCACCTCGGGGGCCCAGCACGCCCCACACACGAGCTGTGGGCACCTCCAGCTTCTGCAGCACCTGCCCGGAGCTGGGGAGGGAGGCTGAATACCACGGCAATCCCCACGGGAAAGGCAAAACCAGGGAAATCAGTACAAAACAGGGCGACACGGGGAGCGACACAAACACCCTGCCCTCGGAGAGCAGCGGGTGCTGAAGGCACTGGCCCCTCGTGGCCCCGGAATCCCGCAGGGACGCCCCGCGGGCTCGGGTGGCAGCTCCTGTGCAGAGGGTTCAGGGCAGGTACTGGCACCTCGAGGTCCCGTTTGGCTGCCAGTGCTCCCTCCCCGGGCAGGGCAGGCAGTGCTGGCGCAGGGGCCGGGGGGCTGCTCAGAGCAGCGGGCAGGCTCTGCGCTTCTTGTTCTTGCGGACCTGCAGGCCGGCCCGGGTGGCCATCTCGAACACCTCCCGCACCCCTTCCTTCGTCTTGGCCGAGCACTCCAGGTACCCGAAGGCGTTGATCCTGTTGGCCATGTCCCTCCCCTCCTCCGGCTTCACCGGTTCCTAAAGAAGCAGGAAAAAGAGGGTTTGGAAGCATTGCCAGGGCACAGCAGCGACTGCCCTCGGGGCACCCGGCCCTTTGCACCGGGACCCAGCACGGGTAGAGGCGGCGGGACCCGGGGCTGCCCCCACCTGCTTCATCTTGGCCAGCTCCCGCCGCGTGTGCTCGTCGTTCCGCAGGTCCTTCTTGTTCCCCACCAGGATGATGGGCACGTTGGGGCAGAAGTGCTTCACCTCCGGCGTCCACTTCTCAGGGATGTTCTCTGCAACCAGCACACGTGGGACCCCGTGAGCTGAGGGGCTGCTCTTCCCCAGCCTCCCCGCAGGGACCAGCCCCGGGGCTTTTTGCCACAGGAAGCAGGGAGAGGTCTCCCTCTCACAGCATCCTCCTCTCCCACCACCTCCACCCAGCCAGCAAGTTCCCAGCATTTCCCTGGAGTGCACACCAAGCCAGGGGATGAAGGGGAAGCTGTGGCATCCCCGAGAGGCAGAACAGAGGCTTCCCAGACCATGGGGGGTTCAGCAGCAGCACCCAGTCCTGTGGGAGCCTCAGGTCCCCCCTCACTCCCTGGTCCCTACCGAGGCTGTCCGGGCTGTCGATGGAAAAGCACATGAGGATAACGTCGGTGTCCGGGTACGAGAGGGGCCTCAGCCTGTCATAGTCCTCCTGTCCCGCCGTGTCCCACAGGGCCAGCTCCACCTGGGAGGGGAGAGGGACAATGGCTCAGCAGCTCTGCAGGCCAGGAGTGACAGATTTATCTTCCTCAGGTATAGCTGTGATCTTCCTCAAACTGGGGCAGTGTCCTAGTTAGAATAGCTGGGACCAGTTCATCACTGTATGGGTTTAACCCAAAACTGTGTATTCTAGAGCCTTCCATGCCATTGCCCAGAAACTGTTCTCAATGAACCATTTACACCCTCTGCCCAGAGCAGCCCTGACTCCTCAGGCTATAAACTGGGTGTTAAGGGGCCTGTGAGACAGGAGGATGCTCCTGTCCTCACACCCTTTGTGAAGCTCCCTGCCCTGAGGGAAGTGCTGGGCCTGACCTGGAGAATATATAATCTTGGAGTCTTGGGACTTTTTTAACCACTCGTGGGATCCAGAGGAAGACTGCAGACCACCACTCTCAACCAGACTGCGATCACCACCCTTGACCAGACTGCACCAGCACTCTCACCAACAGGTTTTCCCCTCTCCTTTTACTTTGGACTCAGGGGGCCCAAAGAACACCACCCTGTTCATGCCCCAGGGTGCTGGGTTATGCATTTGGGTTTTGTGGGTTAAAACCAACTGTTTGTCTGTATAATCGTACTTATTGTATTATTTTATTAAATTGTTTTTCTGACTTATAATCTCTCTTTTGAGCTGAGTTCATTTCCCCTGCTGGTTTACCTTTAAACCAGCACAGGCAGGTTCAGGGTGACCCAGAAAGGCAGGAGCCAAGTGGCTCCCATCCACATGGACCAGCCCTGGTGGCAGCACTGGGCGGTGGCACTGCCAGAGTGGGACTGTGGGAGCAAGGGGAATGATGAGCAAGGAATGATGATGGCTCTTACCTGCTTCCCATCTACCTCTATGTCAGCAATGTAGTTCTCGAACACGGTGGGCACGTAGACCTCGGGGAACTGGTCCTTGCTGAACACGATCAGCAGACACGTCTTCCCGCAGGCACCGTCTCCCACGATCACCAGCTTCTTCCTGATGGCTGCCATCGCTGTGGGGACAGGAGCAGGGGACTGGGGCACAGCACCACGGGCAGCCCATGCTCCCAGCCCCCCAGAGCCCTGTGCACGATGGCCAGGGAGGTACCAGACACGGACACCTGGGCACATCCCACTGGGAACAGCCAGTGATGGCCCCCACCAGCTCCTGCACACACCAGCTCATGGGCACTGCAAGAACTGGCCTGACTGGAACTATTTACACCCAGCACTGCTGCTGTGGCTGGGAGAACCATCCCAGTGATGTCCCAGCCATGGCAGTGCTGGTGGCTGCCCACAGGGACCTGGAGTGAGGTGACAGACTGCTCTGCCTTACCCACCCCATGGGGAACCCACCCCCCCAGCCATCCAACCCTCCCTGGGCTTTGCTGTGCTGCCACCCAGGTAAAGGGGGTTTCAGACAACCTCGGAGTGCCACGAACACACCGGGTTTATTTTAGATTATGAATTCCTCAGGTCTCACCCAGGCACACTCACCGGCTCCCAAATAATCCGATCAGCAGCTGGAACGCGCCAGGCTGAGCTCCTGGAGGTCCAGGCAAGCAGGACCTGTGTGCCTGGCACCCAGCACTGGGCTGGCCCCGTCCCAGCCTGTCTGACAAAGGAGCCTTTGCCACGGAACCAAGAGAGCCGACGCTGGCACTGGCGGCAAGAGAAGCTGCCAGGCATCCCTCGGCAAACACAGGCAAAACCCAGGCAAAGAGGGTGGCTTTCTGCCCCGAGGGAAAAGGATGCAGCCCTGCAAGGAAAGCTATGCCTTTGCATCCCTCGGTTTCAAAAGGGGATTACAGAGGAGCCTGGGAGTCGTCCAGGACAATGCCACAAAACGCCTGGCACAGCATCTGAATGAGGCATGAGAAAATCATCCGTGGTGGGATCACATCCCTCCCAGCCTTGGGACCAAAATCTCTTTCCCATCCCCAACTTCCCAGACGCCTCAGTTCCAAGAGCCTGACCCACTCCTTAAGTGCCTTTGGCACATCACCAGCTCCCTTTCCCAGAAGAGATCCCGGGAATGATGCAAGCTGACAGCTCAGGGTTTAATCCCTGAAAATTCACACTGCTCTGGGGGAAATTACAGATAGCAAGAAAACTGCTTCTGAAGGCAGGGATGTGCCACATCCCCCCACCAGCCCTGTCCCTCTCCATACCCCCTGCCTGGGCAGCAGGATGGGAAGGGTCTGGGATGCTGGGAGCCTTGGGAAGGTTCAGGGGAAATAACCATGTGGGAAGGCCACACACACCGATGCTGATGCAGGGAACTGCAGGGGGATCACACTGGGATCATCCCAGGATCACGCTGGGATCGCCCTGGGAAGGCCAGGACATCATAAGCCTGGCATTTAACCAGGGCATTGAGCTGAGCCTTAACGAAGGCCAGGCATCTGTCCCCACCCAGGTGACACACCCACACCCTGAGCCAACAGAAAAGGGAGGAAAAGGGGGAAAACCCCAAGTCAGGCCACATTGTAATTAGCAGCAAGTGAAGGATCAAGAATCGAGCCCGAGTGGCTGGGCCACATTCCAAAGGCAGGCTGCAGAGCTCTTCTCTCCCATGGCATGCCTGGCAGGTCACCCCTGGCACACGAAGCCTGGGGACCACCCCAGCCTCACAAATCAAACTGCCCAATGGTTTGGGCAAAAGAGAGACAGTTTTCACCCAAATCCAGGCCAGGCCCTGCTGGTAGCCATGGATCTTTGCAGGTTCCAAGCACTTTGGCTCACAAGCCGAGGCAGGAATGGTTTGTGGCTGCTGAGTGCTGTGAGCTGTTAATAGAAATAGAAGGCTGGCACTTGTAAGGTGAGAAGAGAGAGGATCAAGGGCTGCATCCGGCAGGATCCAGCACTCCTCAGCCAGGAGCCTGGGGGTCAGGCACACATCCCAGTGGAGCAGCATGCCCACAGAAACGGTGAGCACATTTGTGCAACGCTGAAGCTGGAGAAAAAAATAAAAGGTGCCCCAAAGGGTCCTTTTTTGGGACCACGGGCACTTTTTAGGGAGGCAGGGGCTGAGCATGGAGGGGGAACAGCTCCTATCCCTATTCCTCATGCCCTCCTGCTCCTGCCTGTGACAGCTGGGCCAGGGACACCCACTGTCCCAGCAGGGACAGCCAGCCAGGAGCTCATCCTGAGGAGGCACAGAATTTGTGTTACAGAGGCAGATAGAAGGGCTGGAGGAGTCTGCTGGCTCCTGCCCGCCTGAGGAGGACAATATATCCCTGGGGACACAGAAATGCATCATCCTTAGAATCACAGAATCATTAAGGTTGGAAAAGACCTC